CATGAATTTTTATTAAACTTTTGTGGCAAAGTTTTTGTGAAGAAAAGTTTTGCCAAGATGTGTTTTTTTACTCAGTCGCATGCAAAAATTTGTTTTCGGGTGTGTTGTTGCAGGACATCGATACGCACGTGTGTATGCCTCATGCGTACATACGTATAACGATGGAGGGGCAGTACGGGTGTGGGGAGTTAGAAGGCGGGAGCGCAACGCTAAATCACGGCAACGAAAACGCTCTTAAGCGCTCACGAGCCGTTGCGCCAAAGAAAATAACTGCACGCTCAACTGACAACAACAAAGCCTGCTATCGACTCCAAATCTGGTTGTATGCATCGCTTGTGAGTGCATACATACATAGATAGAACCACGCGCCGCCAGAATCTTTTTACTTTTTGGTTTATTCTCTGCAAAGTATCTGCGTCGAGCTATGTACATACATATGTATGTATGTGCATAAGCATCTGTAAGTACGTGCAGTGCGCGATAGTAGTGCGCTTTTGAGATATACGCCAGAAATACGGAAAAAAAACCGAAAAAGCTGATTGCTATCAGGCCTGCTGTATCTGGAAGAGCTACACAAAATAACAACAACAACGCCACCGACTGATATGCGCAACAATTTAGTAGAAGAGGCATTCAAAATTCTTAGTTGCGCTGGAGCGCAGCGTTGTAGCTCTTGCCGCTGACAGCTCCCACCACACTGGCTATTCCACACCTTGGGCTTAACGTTGTTGGTATGTATGTATCCACTTTTCTTACAACTTCTATTTGTTTTGATATATTTGATGTGAACGTACCTACATACATATGTATGTATGTATATGTATACATAGGGCGGCCGTCGTAGCCGACTGTTTCGAGTTGCATACTACTTACCAGTGGCTGGGACCCAAGTTCGATTCCTGGTCCGGTCAACACTCATAAAAAGCTGCCACTACGATGCCAACGACCAATATCCGAGTGAAAAATCTTCTCATAAAATTTGGTTGCGTTTCATAGGCGGCGTCCCTCCATTTGTGTGACAACATCAAGGCGTGCACCGCAAATTGGAGCAGAAGCCCGGCCAAACTTTTAGTAAATCGTGTAAGCGCCAAGTATTTACTTTTGTATGATGCATGCATGTAGCTATTTCATATTTATCTTGCTCCTATTACATTTATTTGCCATTGCGCCGCTCCTCCCTTCCGTGACAAAGCGCTCACAATTAATAATCACCAATGCATCAGCGCTCACTTCTTCGGTGTCCCTTCGCTGATTTCCATTCACCTGCAGCCAGGTGGCAGTCATCTTGTTTACCACACAAACTACATACTCGTACGTACGTACGTACGTATATAAGTCGTGCTGCGGCTGAGGTTCTTGGCTTGTATCTGCGCGCAGTCAGCAGAGTATGACAAGTGGCGTGAAGGAGCGTGTTTAATATCTGCATCTGTGTGCACTAACAAACAAACAAACACACACACACACACACACACACATGTGCAGTTACATGGCCCTTCTGACTCTGCCTCTGCTCAGTTTGTAGAGTTTTTTTTTCCCCCCAGAACAAAGGCGCGCATTTAAGTGCATAATTTGCATGTTTGCACAATAATTGCTTTTGAAAAATTACCAGAATATTTAGATATGAATGTGATACATATGTATGTGTCGTGGAGCGAAAGCGCGCGAGGTGGGCGAACCGAAATGGCTTAGATATGTAGGTAGTTGACGCTGCAAAATGCCAGCGACGTTGGTTATTTGGCGACAGCGGGCCGGTGGCTGGTTACTGGCCTCCCAGCAGATGGCTTTGACTTGTTATCTTATCTGCTAATCAGTTGGTACCTAGTGTGTGAATGTAGGCGAGATAACTGCGGCAGAAATATGCTGTTGTGCGTTCGTTTCATTGTCTTTGGGGAGGGGATCATTTAGGGCGCATTTAATTTTTCCGTTAGATCCACAACTATTTAAGCGGTGCATAGAACTGCTGCTTCCGTTTGCTTTCGGAAATATGCTAGTGTCTCACATTCAGTCAAATTAACCAATCCGTCAAAGCGGAGTTCAGTATGTCCCGTCGCTTCTCACATTCACTTCAAATAGTTTCCAGTCGAGGACACAGCAGTTAGCACCACTTGACATGCCGCAACCCTGTCGGGTTTTCTTTTCTTTTTTTTTTTTGTTTTTTTGTTTTACCTTTTCAGCATTCGTGACTTACGAGACACGCCAGTCCGTATTTGCATATGGCAATGCGCCAGTTATTCAATCATTCAATTGACTACTCTTTGTAGTTTTGTAGATTTTTTTTTTCACGGAGCCTTCGATTGCTTTCGCCAACTCATCAAACTCTCATAATTCACCTGAACTGTCAAAAATCGCCAAACGCGCCGGCCACGCTGCCTGCCTAGCTGCCTAGCTGCCTAGCTGCAACAACCGCAGCAACCACCAGCGCCATAGTTGCGCCCCTCAGCGCTGCTATCGGCGGCCCCCCACCCGAATATATATATATCCATTGAGCCATCACAGCTATCAAACTATCAAACTAGGGAAACATCTAGTTTCCGTCCGTCGCCGGTCCGTCCGTCCGACTGCTCAGCCGTTTGTTGCGTTTATGTTTGGTCATCGTCGCTGCATGCCACATTCTGCCAACCGCGCCAGCTGTCCGACCGCGCGCCCGCCCGCCCGTTCGCGTTTTTCACCTTTGCTTTTTCTGATTTTTGAAATAGTTTACCAAATAAGCAAAAAGAATAGTAGTTAGAGCAAAAAAAAAAAGTATCCAACAAAAAAGCAGATCGGTATTACGGATCGTGTGTGCACGACGATAATGACTGCGCATTTATGTACTTAAACACAAAAACACACACAAACACGCGGGCGCCCATTCAAACAGCACGCAACTGATGGTTCACTAGATTTTACATAGATACTTAGGTTCCTTTAGAGCGGAAGGGAGGAGGGACGTTATGTTGTTCATTTGCCGCCTTGCGGATGGTGCTTTGTTCAGCGTTACAATGAATGCTGCTGCTGTGTTGTTGTTGGTGTTGTGTCTTCTGCCGACAACGCGCTTTGCGAATCCGTTGTTGGTTGTTGAACTATGTGGCAATTGAATCATGATTGTGTTACATTGTATGCACACATTTGACATATTGATTGGCACTTCTTGATTTGCGGTCTCGAAAAATTTGATAAAATCGTTTTTTTTTTGTTTTTTTTTTGTTGCTTTTTGCTGCCTAGTGTAAGGTTGCATGTGCTGCTGAGGTGCGGCGAGGTGATGCGTGCAATCATAGGACCAACATCAGGGGTCACTGGTGATATTTTTGTAAACAGTATGCCTATGCCGATGTATGCGAGCATATATAGTACACATATGTACATATATACGCAGATATAATGGGAAGTCAGGTGATGGTTGCTGAATTTTTGGGCTTTTGTTTGCATTTGACATAAACATTTGGCAACAATTACAGCTGTCATCCACGAGAATAGGCGTAATGACGGATGATCACAAACTGGTGTTCAATGCATATCGTATTAAAGCCTGATTATGGCAACTTGCAACTTAACTTAATTTAACGGAACGTAGAACTTAGAAAATCGAAATGAAAGAGATTCGACGTGGCATTAAAAGTTACGTTAAGTTTCGGCTGTTCGTTTATAAATAAGCAACATCCATTTAGCGGAATTTTGAAGTGATAGCCGTAAGTTACGTTAAGTTGCCATAATCAGACCATAATGAGCTGGAGGTGCGCGCTATGACTATGTGAGCTGATCTTTTAAGTAAATATTTTTTATAGTGTATGCGGGGGGGTTCATAAAGAAAATATGGACAGGCTGGCAGGATTTAGGCCGTCGGCAAATATGTACAGGTTTCTGTAGGCGACTTCGCACACTTAGCAACAGAGTTTTCAAATAGGCATGTATGTACATATATAAACTTTTTTTCGTTCAAATCGAAGTATGTAAATATATGCTAAGTAGAAATAAATGCCGAGATTCGTGAAAATGTTCCTTCGGAAAGGAAAGCTCCGTAAAAGTTAAGAACTTAACAAGTAATTTTTAAGCAAAAAAAAACGAGTTCAAATCTCATATAAAAATTTAGGAGTACCGTTAACTTTTTCGTGATCCAATGATCGGATCTAAACAGAGTATATGGCCACCTCTGAGACACTACTTTTCCGATGAAAAAAGAATTTTCGAAATCGGTTAACGTGGTCCAAAGTTATGCGGTAACATACATAAAAAAAACAAAAAAAGGTATTCCGACGAATTGATAACCTCCTCCTTTTTTTAAAGTCGGTTAAAAAAGGAGAAGGTTATCAATCCGTCAAAATATATATATACACTAAAAAAAAAAGTCTCTTAATTGAAGAAAAACAGCAATCAAAATGAAGAAAAATGGGAACGAAATAGCACTAAAGATTGGATGTTTTTAGAATTTTGTATCCTTTATCTTTTATCCTCTTTTCATGCCCAACATTTCCTCAAAATGATAGATTACATCCACGGTTCCATATTTTCGTGTACTTTTTTTACACATTCCAAAGAAAAATTACTCATTCGGGAGAATTTTTTACTCATTCGGAAGAATTTTCGACCTTAAAGTAAGGAAAGTTTTTCTTTGATCCAGAGATGGATTTTTGGTTCAGTGTATATTTTTTTATACCACGTTAACCGATTTCCTCAAGGGTGGACCCCCTTGTTTAGATCCGATAATTCGATCGTGAAGCAATTAACGATAATCTTGAATTTTTATATGAGAATTGAAGTCGGTTTGGTTTAACTATCCCTACCACATACATATCGTCACTACACACGAATAAAGGCGCGATAGTGTTTTGACGGCGGAAAAAGGCGCGTAAAAAAATTTTGCAAAGTATGTTAAGAGTTTTTGACGCTAAAGTTTTTTATGCGTCTTTTTTCGCCGTCAACTTTTGAGCTCGCGCCTTTATTCGTGTCTAGTGATGACATATATTTGTATATACATCTATGTAATAAATATTTTTCGGCAAGCGCCTATAGCGCCGACTTACCTTCGCAGGTGAACTGTCCATAGTGCTTGCCGGAGCTCTTGTCCCCGCACACCACACACTCGATGTTCTGCTTGCAGTCCATATTTTGTTTGGAGTCGCTGTTGCTACTCTGCGAATGCAGGCTATTCGCCTGAGAACTAGGCGTTGTACTGCCACCGCCGCCGCCGCCACCACCACCTCCTCCACCGCCCGCCGCACTGCCGCCGCCCAAGCAATTAGACGCCGCTTGTTGGCCTTTGATCATGACGCCGAGCTCCTGTCCGTGATTCTGTTGCGCCGCCGCCGCTGCATGATGTGCTGCCGCCGCATGGTGTGCCGCCGCGCTAGCTGCCGCCGAGGCAGCTGTCAGACTGGAGAGATCCTCTTTGATTGTATGATGTCCGCTTTGGTTGAGTGTGTTCGATTGGCCCCCCGCGCCACCGAGCCCGGAAAGGTCCTGCTTGATGCCCGCCGACTGTTGGCTGGCGACGCTGGATGGTGTTGTGCCGCCGCCGGTACCCACGGAGCTGCCACCCGCGCCGGGCAACGAGCCGGGACCAGCGGAGGCGTGCAGATGTCCACCGAGATTAGGATCGTGCCATGCGGAGGGTGGCGGTACGCCCAATGCCATTGAGCGCGGCAGGCCGAGATCGAAGGCGGACAGCTCGGCGCTGGACTGCGGGCGTGGATTGAAGAAGCCGGGAGCGGTGGACGGTGAGGCGCACATGACGCCGCCACCGTACACGCTCAAAGAATTGTGGGTGATAATTTTGGCGGCTTGCGGGGCGTATGAAGGAAATGAAGTATGCACTTTGCTGGTATCCCGTCGACACAAAGCGGTACGAGACCGTAGCTAGTTGTGTGTATTTTTGTACGTGGCGTAGTGGTTGTTTGCGCGTTTGATTACCACCTTTCGTTGCTACAATTATGTTTTTCTTTTCTTCGGCTGCGATGTTGCACAAGAAGTGATCGCAGCACTCAAAAGTTCTTAATCTTTTTTTTTTTTTGTGCAAAAATTCTTTGTATTTTCTCATCAACCAGTACTCATTTTTTGTATTATAAATTTCGTATCAAAACACTGCTGGTATGCAATATTTCTCACTTTATCATAATTTCTGATCGAGCGAAAATTTCTTGCACACACGTTTGGTTGGCGATCGCGTTGCCGCGCTAAAAAATATACGAAATATACTTATTTAAATTCAAAATTAATTAACACTGGTAAATTTTAATCGCACTCCGCGCGTATTTCGCTAAACTCATTTAATTTATTAATTTTATTATCGAACACTCTTTCGTCAATAATTCATATCTGTTCGGGCGTTGCAACCGAGAACTTTCAAACGATTTGCACACACTTTGTAAAATTTCAGTGATTTTTCTCCTTGGCATATCTACGCAAGCAGTATTAAAAAATAACTTCAGATGTTCGGAAAAATGCGCGTCATGCGACCAACAAAATCTCAGCTGTTTTCGTAAGGCCTTTTAGAGCCTGACTGGCAAAACATTCGTGGCAAAAGGTACACGACCCGACCCGACTCGACCGTTTCGACCTAACGACACATCACACAAATCTCTCATTCCACCACTCAAAGCAGCCAGATTGCCACTACGAACTCAGTGCACACAGCTCACACAGACGCCGAACATAGAGCGCACACAAGCAAGCGAACGTTTACGCTCGCAGCAGTGCTGCCAGCCGCAGTCAGCCACCCTGAAATCTAAATCGTCCATTCAATCGCCTAGGCTGCTCGCACGCTTGTCACCAGATGGCGTGCGCATTTGAGTGGAAGTGGCTTGCCGACTCGCTCGCACCCGTTCGCTAGGCCTGGGCGGTGGTTATGCTGGTGGTGGTGGTGTATGCGGCCATGTGGCCTATGTCTGCGCTCTATGGCGGGGCAAGACCTTCTACGTGTTTGGTTGAGCGCCACCAAAGCACACACACACACGTCTCCTCACTCTCCACGCTGGTTTATGTGTGCGTCGATGTATTTGCTCAGCGTTTGAAGGCGGCTGGGAGCCACTGAGTTTTCCACTCCACTCACTCCATTTCCGTTTAGTTGCTCGCAGTGCGCAAAAAGCGCTCAAGCCATTATTTTTTCCTTCGCTCATTTGTCAAGTAGCTGGTGAGCGAGGCGCTTTGCCTGAGATGTGAGTGCATTTGTTCGTTGAGTTTGTGTGAGTTCGCTTCGGTTTGGAGCGGTGCAAAGAGTATGGCATACATTGAACTCGTTTTTCTTATTAGTACATTTAATGTATCTGGTAGATACTCAGTTGGCTTTTTTTTTTGCTTTTATACATAGTATGCCACTTTAGCTTTGTTGTTGTTGTTGTTGTTGTTGTTGTTGTGGCAACCGCTTGACTGGTTTACTTACATAGTTGCTGCTTTTACATACATATTTATTTTGTTTTTTTTGTTTTGTTTTGTTGCGATCTACACTACATACTTTAATCAAAGAAATGAGAACAAAAAGAAAATTAAACAGATAAGCGAAAAGTACCGCTCGTTCGACGAGAGCAGAAAAGCCACTTAAAGCGAAAAACTTCACTCCACATCACTAAATCCCTCCCCAAAAAAAATTATTTTAATGGCTTTAAATGAAATTTGTTGATTTTTTTGTTTTCGCTGACTTAACATAACAGCGTTGTTGTTGGTGTTGCTACCTTTCCATGCGCTCATTTATCGTAATGACTTTTTAAGCAACAGTCGATGGCAGCAGCGCACTTTTGGTTGGTTAATTTAGGTAAATGCAGTTACCCAGCCACGTACGATCAGCTAGATATGTATGTAAATACATACAATATATGTATGTATGTATGTGTATGTATGTATGTGTTATACGAATACAAATTTATATGTTTTTGTTGGCTTAATATCAAGCAAATACATGCATGTACATTAGGGTGCCCATCGAAAATGTTTTTTTTTAAAGAAATTTTAAGACCCTACCTCCTAATTTTATTAATTTTTATGAGAAATATTATTGCCTATTTTTATAGATTTTTCAAAGGTCACATTGTGCTTAGCCTCCTTAAGTACTGTCTTGAACATTTTTGTTATCGGACAAAACCTACTCCTCTAAAATAGACTTAATTTTAGATAGTACTCCATATTTTAAAATTGTAGAAATTATCGATAGTGAAATTTAAAAAATTAAGAGAAATATGTTTTTTGTTTTTACTTTACCCGATAAAAAATCCAAATCAGCCACGCCCGACAATATATTATTATACTTCATTTTAAAGGCCTATATATCCCCTTCTCAGATCATATTCGATCTTTGAAATATACCATCTTTGAAATGGTCATTCAAAAACTTATAGATCTACAAAATCGTATTTTCTGATCTACATAAATCGACAGGTCACGACCTCTTACTGACCTTTAAAAAACGAATAAAATTAGGGGGTAGGGTCTTGAAATTTCCAAAAAATCTTTTTAGATGGGCACCCTAATGTACATACATACATACATACATATGTACATGCTAATGTTTGTATGCATGTATGTACATATACATATATGTACATATGTATGTATATCTGAGTAGAAACCAATTTAAAATGAATTTTACAGATTAAGAGCAGGAAAGCTGCAACTTTAATAAACAATAACTGCCATATTGCCATGTAAACGCGTGTGTAAACAAATAACCCACACATATGCACACATATTGCATATACCCTGCAAAAATCGCGACTACTCCGTGCATGCGTGTAAAGAGTGCTCCCTAAGGACCAAGCAGTACTCCAAAACTAACCACATTTCATATAAAAAAATATGGTCCAATTAACAGTGCGATGTCCTAGGGCAGGACCATATATGTATTCCATCTCTGCATTACATCAGCACAAAACTACTCCAACACATTAACAATGGCATTGTTGTTATATTTTTTCGTTAGTACCTACACACTTTTATTCTTCACTTCTCAGATGCTTTTTCGAAATTAATAAAAACCCAAAAACAAAAATTAATATTTATATGTTGCCTCTGACGGAATTCGAACCCGAACATACTGGGAGCTAACAACTAACACTGAGCATCTCTACACGTTCAGCTACAGCCAGCCACGCAAATGCGCTTTCAAATGCTCAACTTCAATTACGTTTCGTTAAAAACACGAGCAGTGATCGGGTAACAAACAATAAGCTGGTACAGATACACGAGTTGGTACGCTACAGCAAGACAGAGGAACACTTTTGTAAGTACTCCAATATACCACAAATAGACTACATGGTGCAACGATTTTTGCAGGGTACATACATATGTATGTATGTAGTATATACATACAAATCTACATATTCAAATGCATATACGTCTGTATATGTACAAGTGTGCACGTATACAAAGATCTGTGTGCGACTCACTTAATTTAATTTCCCCTCATGCTAATCGGAAAGGCATACACATTGTATTCGAGCACTTACAACCTATTGGATATCGCTAAAATCGTTTCCATTAAGATCTAATAAGTCAAACTCGATTTTTTGGCGCTCAAAATAACGCTTTCCAAATAAATATAAGCGAACCTGTGAAGGTGAAGATTTCTTTATGAAATTTTTATCGAATACCAATATCTAATGATATAAATATACCTACATAATAATAATAATAGATTGGCGCTTACACATACATACATACATGTGTAATCTTGTTACCAATGATGTCGATGTCGTTCACATACGCCAGCAATTGTACGCTCTTGTAAAGGATTTTGTGTGTGATAATAATTACTGGTGTTATTGATGGTCGAATAATCAATTTCTCAATTTCTTTTAATTTGAGAAACTAAAAAACTATTGTATTAATTTAAAATATTTTAATGTCGTTTGAAAGGTATTTAAAAAATATCTGTTTTTTTATAGATAGGTACATGTTTTACTTTTTTGGTAAGGCTTACGAGAAAAATGAGTTTTTATAAAAAAACATTGCAAAATTAAAAGAAAAACGATTTCTATTATTAAATCTCGTTATTGTCAACACATAAAAGTTAGCTTCTAAAGGTGTTCAGCCCCTCTTCTTCGGCAACACAGAATGGAGAATTCTACTTTGTCCGGGTACGCAGAAAGAAGTTCTGCGTAAAAGTACTTGCGATTGTTCAGATAAGACATGTTTTACGGTGATATTTATATAAAAAGTACATTTGTTAAAAAAAAAAATATTTTTATAAAAAAACTTGTTTTTTTCATAAATTTTATCAATAAAGAATATCAATGTTGTATGTCAAAAGAGAGGTATTTTTATTACCTTTGAAACGACATAAAAATCCTTTAAAAATCATTAACAGTTTGCGAGATGTTTAATTTTAATGAAATCCATTTTTTACTTTTTGACCTTGAATAAAACTAACATTTTTTGTTTCCATAAAAAAAAAATGTTGTAATCTTTATAAATTCCTCTATAGAGCCCATTATTATTATTATTTTTTTTTTTTGTTTTTGAGAAATGTACGTATACTGCATTTGTTCCTATGTTAAATTCCCTTCTCTGGCTGTTAATTAACATTCTCTGGTTGCGCTTCGCTCGTTCATAGATTTTTATGAAAATATAATAAATATTAAATAAACAAAAGACAAATAACCAAAACTGGTCAAAATATCGCACTGTTATTATTTTGTGGGCAACTGTAAGTTTAGGCGTGCGAGTTAACTTGTTAGTTGACTTGTATGGCGCTACGGGGCGTATACGTTACATACGCAACTGTGGGTATATGAGCATGAGTGACAATTTTTACTTCTTCTTAGTATCTACATATATCTTTTTTAAGTTCCCATTTAAATACAATTTCGCGATGGAATCTTGTTCTTTATACAAAACTGAAGATAATGCATTTGCTTCTCCTCCAATTGGTGGCGTGCACTTTGATATTGTCACACAAAAGGGACTGACCTGCAGTTTTACGCCGCCTCCGAACCGCGCTTGCATTTTCATGAGAAGCTTTTTTCCATGGTAGAAATACACTCGGAGATTTGCCATTGCCTGGCGAGGGGCGACCGATATTAGAAAAAACTTTATTGTTTATTATTTTTGGATGTTTTTCAATGTAAAAATGTTTGCTAGCACTTCTTTCGAAAATTTGGTGCCAAGATTTCCTCATTTAAAACGGGGAACGCAGCGTACTATTGCTATAAGCCCTAAATATAATCACACGAACCTTGGTCTATTTAAGAAAGTACGCACATTGGAGTACGCTTTGTTTCAAATTATGTATGGAGAAGATACTCGTTTCCCATGTGTTGATGGACGATGGCCCCAGAACCCACAAAACCTCCAGTCCGTGTCTACAGAAAGTCCCACTTTTTTTAAATTTTACTTTAACTTGCATTTGAGTAAAAATGTCGAAGGTCGAGCTTTTTCTTGTGCAATTATCTGTTTATGCTTCACAACGATAAAAGAAAAATACAACTTTCACAATTTTTCGAAATTCGAATTATTTTTGAAGTTTCTCGCGATTGGTAATACCGATTCTTCTCATATTTTAAACATTTAAAAATGATGATGTTTCCGTCTCGTGTTTATTTGGTCATAAATTTTTTTATAAATGTTGATAATTTTTTTTTTTAATATTACTTACATCTCAATAGGTTTAAAATCGCATTTTGGGCTAATATTGTTTAATGCTTTAT